CTCTCTCTCTCTCTCTCTCTCTGAATGGCTCTATTCTTTGTAAGCTCTTAAGTCAAAATTGCATATGTGAGTAATTAGTGTAATGGTTCAATAACTTGCACATTCTTTAGCTTCTTTAGCATCTCCCTTTTTCTGCACAGGTACATACACCGATCCTTCTCTGACTACAGGAACGCACATACAGGTAGTCCTCGACTTACAACCATTCATTTAACAACCATTCAAAGTTACAATAGCACTGAAAAAATTACTTATGACCAGTCCTCACATTTACGACAATCGCAGTATCCCTGCAGTCACATGATCAACATTCGGACACTTGGCAATTGGCATGTATTTACGACAGTTGCAACATGCCAGGATCACATGATCACCGTTTGTACTTCTTTGCCATCAGCTATGAGCTTGCCAAGCAAGCATGTTGACGTTAACATTGTCTTCTTCAGGGTCAGGTGATCAGGGGGCTTCCAACAAGCAAAGTCAATGGCGGAAATTGGATTCGCTTAACGACCGCAGCAAAAAAGGTTGTAAAATCAGGCACAACTCACTTAAGGACCATATTGCTTAGCAACGAAAGTTCCAGTCCCAATTGTGGTCATAAGTCAAGGACTACCTGTAGCTCCTGAAAATTGTTCAGTCACCCTGAGAATGGGGTCAAGTCAACAGCAGAAGTTTTCCTCTGCATTCCGCAAGGGGGCACTGTAGACTGAGCAGTCTCCCAGGAACAAAATCCATTTGGGGGAAGGCGAAGATCCAGGGACCAAGTGCCGAAGAACTTTTCGGCAAACAGGCTGTAAGGCAGCTTTCTCCACCCAGCTGATGTCCCCCAGAGGTGGAGTGAGTGATGTGGAATCCAACATCTGGAGGAAGGTGTTGCCCCCAGCCCAAGTCACTGAGACGTTCTCCTGTGTCTGCACTGTGTTGGTCTGCCCATCTGGGAGAAGCTCAGAAGTGGGGAGCAAAAAGGGAGGGCTTCTCGGGGGGACTCTACAGGTGGATTGTTCTGCTATAGCCCATTTCTTACCATCAGGAAGTTTTTCCTCTTAAACTAACTCTAGATAGCTGCACGTTATACCCATTATTTCTCATCCTAGTTTCTGTGGCAATGTGTCTGCTGTCTACACAGTGAGAAGTAATTCTTGACCATCTTCTTTAATGGCTCCTTCTCTGTACCTGAACAATTATGTCATGCCTCCCTTCAGGCTTCTTTCCTCCAGACTGAACATCCTTCCTTTAGCTTGTCCTCAGGTCCCTGTATCATCTTGGCCACCTCCTCTGAACCAACCTGTCCATAACCTTCTGGAATTGCGGTTGTCAGAGTCATACCCAATACTCCAGATGTGGGCTCACCATCACTTGAGTAGAGAGGAACAAGGAAGGGCTGGTCTGTGTCTGTCTGTCTGTCCATCTGTCTGTCCGTCCATCCATCCATCCATGTATTTATCTATCATATTTCTGCCCCACCGCCATCAAAAGACTCACACACCTTTCACATGATGCTTCCATGAGACAGCCCAAAACTGCGTTAACCCTGCTGGCTCGTATTTGCCTTCCTGTCATTGACCACACCCATGAGTTTTACTTCCAAGCCATGAATCCCCCATCTTTTATGTGTGCCAGTCATGGAAATGATTGATAAAATGATGGAAATCATGGAAATGATTCCATCCTTTTGAGGCTGAGCAAAGTGTGTCACAGTGAAGTCTGCCAAGGCCTGCAAGAGGGTCGGTAGCTCTTCCCTCTAGCCTGAGAACCTGCCAGGCCTTCACTGTTGACTTTCCCAGCTTTAGACTTTGATCCTTGGGCCGTGCTGCTTCCCTCAGGCCCTCGTTGCCACGAGCACCAAAAAAGCATATTTTCCCAGGCCTGTAGCCTCTAAAGCAAGCGGGAATCCATTCTCCTGCAGTAGTGGTTTGAGTCCGTCCAGGGCCAGCGATCGGTTGCATTGAGGAGGAGGAGGAGGGCTGGTGGTGGTGGTGGTGTTGTATGTTGAGGACCACACCTACGCTGGGTTGTCTTCCCTAGGGGTGTTTCTGATTCCATACTCCATCATGCTCATCTTCACGGGTCTGCCTCTCTTCCTGATGGAGCTCAGCCTTGGCCAATATGGTGCTGCAGGACCTATCAGTGTCTGGAAGTGCTGCCCCCTCCTGAAAGGTAAGCCTGGGGGCTGCAATGGGGCCCAGAAGCCATCGAGCTCCAAAGGGGAGCCCATCAGTCCAGGCAGGGCATCCTGGGAGTGAGAGGGGGAAGGGATCCCAAAGGGTCCTTCTAGGGCCGGGAGGGCTGCAGGCGGGGGCCTGCTTTCCCTCCTCATTTGCCCTGCGGAGGACCTCCTCCTGCCCCCGGGGGCAATGAGCAGACGAGCCCTGGGCCTTGTAAGCCTGCCAAACCCAACATCTCTTTCCGCCGCTGCTGCCCCAAGAGGCTGAGCCACACGGGTCCTGGCCTCCTTACACGCGAGGGCCTATGCCAGCCTTACGCCTGGCCAGCCACGAATCCAACACTGCTGCTCTGGTGGAGCTCAGGGAGCCCAGGGCTGCTTCTGGGGAGCTGCCCAGCGGCAGTCTGTGCCTTGCCCGGCGGTGCCCTCAACCCTCCTGGAGGCATCCCCAACTGGGGAAGGGGAGTCCTAGGCGCCTGGCTGGTCGACACCCTCCACACCCCCTACAGGGATTGGAATCGGGATGTTGGTGGTGTCCTCGCTGGTCTCCCTCTACTACAACGTCATCATCGCTTGGACTTTCTACTATCTGAGCATGTCCTTCCAGAGCCCCCTGCCCTGGTCCTGCGACGCCCCACAGAACGGCCCCCTCTGCCAATCTCAGGTACCGGGTGGGCCCGAGGTGGAGAGAAAGGGGCGGTGGGTGGCGTGGGGGATGGCCGAGAACCTGTGGATTGTCCCAAGCCACGCACTGCGCCTCCTCTCTGGCCGGGGAGACACTCGGGCAGCAGGGGAGCCGGCTGGCTGGCCGGCCCTGGAGGACCTAGAGGCGTGCGCCTGTGCGGCCGGCCCTGTGACCAGGGTCTGTTCCGTTTCAGAACGGGTCTTTGGCCAACAGCTCCTGGGCCAGCGCCAGCGAAGCCTTCTGGAAGTGAGTCTCTTTCGGGGGTCAGTAGAGGAAATCTCGGAGAGGTGGCAGGGCGCCCCTTGAACTCTCCTAGGGGTCAGCCAGGGGCGGCAGAAAGTTGGGGCTCAAGGCTGGCCTTGGTCAGCCGCTTCTGCCGGAGCTCCTGCTTCTGCCCCGACCGGAGAGTGCAGCTCGTGGGAGGGAGACACACACACACACATACACACACACACACACAATGGCAAAAGGTTCGATCAGAAAAAACGTCCTGTCGTTGCTGCTTCGCCTCCAGCCCAGCAAACAAATCTGGCCAGGTATGGAGGGAGGGAGGGGGGAACTCTCTCCGCTGCCCCCCCCGGACCCGGCTGGGTCTCCTTAGCGAGGTCTCCTTCCCCCTTTCCCTCACTGCTGCCAGGATAAGGTGGCCGTGGGTTGTGGGGCACCCGTTTTGCCCGGGCTGGGAAGATGTCTCCTCTGCCCCCTCTTGCGGGCCACATGCTGGGCGAGCCCCTGGCTGGCCCCGGGGCAGGGAGGGGGCTAGGGAGGGAGGCTCCCGGCCACCCGCCGCTCCGCCAGCCCTCCTCTTCTGCTTTCAGCGAGCGGGTGCTTGGGGTGGTGCACAGCTCCGGCCTGGGCGACCCTGGCCCTGTGAGGTGGCCGCTGGCACTGTGCCTGCTGCTGGCCTGGGCAGTTGTCTTCCTCTGCACGCTGAAGGGTATCCGCAGTTCAGGCAAGGTGAGTGGCGGGTCTCGGCTGCCCACGGGAGCCCACGCAGGGGGCCAGCGCGGTGAGGCCCCTCTTCCTTGCCCTGGAGGGCCCTGCCTGCTTCCAGCGGGGGGGTCGCCTCTCCCTCTCAGCTGGCCTGCCATCCTCTGCCAGGTTGTCTACTTCACCGCCACGTTCCCCTACGTGGTCATGGTTGTGTTGATCATCCGGGGAGCCACGCTGGAGGGCTCCATTGAGGGCGTCCGCTTCTACCTCTCCGCAGACTGGAGCCGGCTCCGGAGCGCTCAGGTAGGCCCTCGGGCGGGGGCGCGATCCCCGCAGCGTTGCCGGGAAAGTGAGGCCGGGGGGGGACCCTGGCCTATGAGGATGCGAGGAGCCCCTCCTGCCTTCTTGCAAGCCGAAGGACAGACAGAGGAGGGGTTTGAGGCTGGGGGGCGGCCTCAGCAGGAGCCGAAGGAACGGGGCGGCTGTGCACGGGGTCCCTTGTTCTGGAGCCAGCCCTCTCATGGGAAGGCTTACAGGGAAGGGAGCCCAACCCTTTAGAGCCAGCCCCATCCTGGGCACCCCACACGGCCTGGATTCGTGCCTGGGGTGAGCCATGCCGCCTTAACCACGTCTGGTGGGACAAACGATCACTTGTTCAGCAACCCAAAGCCATAAATGTGTGTTTACTTCCCTTACGGTGTGATTGCAAACCCTGGCCTGCTTTGTGGATCGCATGAAGATGCGGTTTGACTAACAACGGTTTGCCGAGTCACCCATGACCACCTGGGCTCACACGTTCCGTGAGCCATGCTAACCCCTCTCAGTGTTCCCGCAGGCACGAACTGTGAGAGGCGTGTTGCGCTGATGCGTAGAGTAACAGGGCTTTTTAGCCAGTGCCAATAAGTGGGGTTGCAAGCGAAGAGTAGAGAGCCAGTTTGGTGTAGGGATTAAGGGCACCGGGCTAGAGGCCGGCTGCTCTGCTCCCGCCTAGGCACCAAGCCAGCTGGGTGACCTTGGGCCAGTCTCAGCCCTAGCAAGGAGGCAATGGCCAACCGCTTCCGAAAAACCTTGCCAAGAAAACCGCAGGGGCTCATCCAGGCGGTCTCCGAGAATCAGGCACGATGGAACGGATTAAAAAAAAAAAAAGGTGAGAGAGAAACTTATAAGAGGGAGAAAACTGGAATCAGAATCTGTCTCTCTCCCCCTCCCCGGAGAAGGTCTGGAACGACGCCGCCTCGCAGATCTTCTACTCCCTGGGCATCGGCTTCGGGGGGCTCCTCTCCATGGCTTCCTACAACAAGTTTGACAATAACGTGATCAGGTGAGGCGGGGTCCGGCCATGCTGACCTGGCTCCGGGCACAAACCCCGGCCGAGCACAGATCAGCCACGGGGGGAAGGAATTGGCTTTTGGGGTTCCCAGCACCCAACTTGCTGTAACCGTCCGGGGGGTGAGGAAGGCACAGCCGTGGGGTCCGCCAAAGGCGAGGCGTCAGCGCAGGAAGCCAAGCCAGAGGAAGGCTGGCAGCACTCTCGTTCAGTCTCTCTCTCCCTCTGCCCGCAGGGACACGCTGGTGATCGCCATCGGGAACTGCTGCACCAGCTTCTTTGCCGGCTTCGCCATTTTCTCCATCCTCGGACACATGGCTTGGCGGAAGAAGGTGTCGGTCGGGAGGGTGGCAGATTCGGGTACGGAGGGCGCTGGGAAGCCCCACCGGACTGGGCTGCAAGTCGCCTCCCGATGGCTTTGCCCACCCGGGGACCGCCAGGGCCGTCTTGAAGTCCTTCAATGGTCCTCAGGCCTGGCTCATCGGCGGCTCCAAGAGCAAAGACCGCACCCCCCCTTTTCCTGGGGATCAGGCCACCTGGGGAGCAGGAGCTGAGCAGCTTAGGGGTTCGTGAAGAAGAGCCCCGCCAAGAGCCCACACACACACTCACAGCTCCTCTCGGTCCCCCACTCTATTTCACCTGCAGTGTGCCCGCGTCTGAAGAAAGCAGAAGGCAGCGTAGTGGCCCTTGAGTGACCCCTCGCTCTTTTCGCAGGGCCCGGACTGGCCTTTGTGGCCTACCCAGAGGCCCTGGCCCTGCTGCCCGGCTCAGTGTTCTGGTCCATCCTGTTCTTCCTGATGCTGTTCACCCTGGGGGTGGACACTCTGGTAAGCAAGCCCGGACCCCTTCAGAGCTCGCAGCTGCATGAGGGCCGAGGGCGGGGGAGGCAGCGCGCCAGGAGCTCCAGCAACGCACAAGAAGCAGCCGTCCGGTGTCTCCCGTTGCAGCCTGACCCAGCCGCCCCCTGCAGATCTATTGCAATCCCCGTTAAGCTGGTGGGGGTTGGGTGAGTTGGGTGCCAGCTGCCGTCACACCTGGGTGAGGCTCTCCCACAGGATTGCCAGCGGTCCTGAAGCAAACTTCTGGGCCGTTGAGGTGATTTTTAAAACAACGAAGCTCCTTGGCTGTCCCCTTCCCTTCCCTTCCCTTCCCTTCCCTTCCCTTCTTCAGCTATTTTCAGATCAAAATCTCTCTGCAGTGTTGGCAATAGCGAAACTGCTGACTGTTATAAAGCAGCACAAATTACTTAAATTACAAAGCTATTGCAAGTTTGGGTTGGGCTGTAAAACGCTGCTTCCTTGTTCTCCTGCTTTCCAGTTGGCCCGAGAGAAGATTCCTGGGCAGGTGAACGATTCTCACTATGAGAGCTGTGCCCTTTAAAGCAGCTGCATGTTTTTTCAGGCTTCCACGGGAGCTTGAGAAAAGACACGGCTGCTTTAATGAGTCCTATTGAAGTTGCAGGTGCTTTCAAGAGGGGCGGCACTTGTGTCCTGAGTGTTCCAAAGCACCTTTTCCGCATCACTTTTGAAGCATGCACAGCCTGGGTTGTGTCGGTGCCTGGCCCCCGGGAAAGAGAGCTGAGTCTCTTTTCTGCTCCTTGTCGGGCTCATCCTGGTGCCAAGTAGGAGAGGGTGGCTCAGGACTGGGGGAGGGAGGGTGTGCCCTATTCTCCCTGGCAAAGCCACTAATGCCTGCCTGCCTGCCTGCCAGTTTGGAAACATGGAGGGCATCACAACGGCCGTGATGGATGAGTTCCCATCCCTGCGCGACTGGAGGCGCAAAGTGATCTTTCTGGGTGGGCTTTGTTTTGCCTTCTACCTGCTGGGCCTTCTCTTAATTACTGAGGTAAGAGCCAGGGGGAAAGGAACAGGGGGGTGTTTAAAGCTCCCTCCCTTTTCCCCATGCCCATTATCGTGATTCACTGCGCGCACCATTAGGGCACCCTGTCTCTCTGACTGACGAGGAGGGTCGTCACCCTCTCGTCTCGAACCCTGCTGCTCCCGTTGTGAAGCTCGGAAGTACGCAAGGCCCTCTGGCTTGCCCCTGCAAGAGAAAACGTGGTTTCTGGTGGGATCAGCTGTGAAAGAGCTGCTGACGTAGGGTTGGGGGTGCACTGCGTTGTGTGAACCCAGCTTTTGCTTTAGCATGTGGTATAAACCAGGCTGCCACATTAAGCCACCACTCACGGGAGCCGTTTGACTGGGCCTTGCTTGTTACAGCAGGAACGATTTATTATGCTGGGTTTGGGTTTACCATGTTGTAACCGTTGTTGTGCTGGCAAAGGACAGCATTAGGGGTTGTGTAGTGCTGGCCGGGCAGCAAAAGGCTCTTCTGGGAGCCTTTGTGGGCGAGCGCTGCCGGAGCCCAGGGGTGGGTTTGGGGACCCTTGGAAAAGTGCAGCGCACTCAGATGAAGCCCACCCTGCGGCCCTCTGAGGGAGAGCAGGGCACCAGTTGGCCCGGGCCGGTTCTTCCTGCCTCTCCAGGGCCTTGCCCGGTTCGGTGCCTCGCAGCTGCCAGGCCTTTGTGGCTTTCCCCTCGCAGGGCGGCATTTACTGGTTCGCGCTTGTCGACACCTACAGCACGAGCTTTGGGCTCATCTTCGTCGCCCTCTTCATGTGCCTCGGAGTCGCCTCCTTCTACGGTGAGCCCGCCTGGGGCTGAGCCAGGCACGCTGGGCAGGCAGGGGCATCTCGCGGGAGTCCCTCCCTCCTTCGCGGGCCGCTGCGTCAGTCCCCGCGACAAGCCAGCACCGTGGCTGCCGTAGGGGCAACGGGCCTTTTCCCTCGGTCGGGCCGGTCAGGTTCCCCGTTCCTCGAAGGAGAGCCGCCCGGCATCGCGGAAGGGCAGGGGGTCGTCCCTTTAGCTCTGCCGGGCACCTCCTAAGTTAATAACTGGCGGGCGAGGCCTGGCTTCGGAAAGAACGAAAGACCGCAGTGGCTTCCTCGCTTGCCCTGGGTCAGGAAGGAGGCAGGGGCCGTCACCTGGCAGGGAGGCGGGGTGGATGCGTGAACGAAGAGCGCCAAGCGGAGGCATGGCGGGGCGGGGCGGGGCAGGCGGGGGCCTTCCCTGCGGCCACGTGCTACCTGCTTCCTTCCCTGCAGGGGTGAACCAGTTTTGCCAAGACATTGTCGACATGATCCGGCTGTGCCCGCCCTGGTGCAGCCAGCTGCTGCTCTACTTCAAGGCCTGCTGGGTGGTCTTCACGCCGGGGATGCTCCTGGTAGGCCAGGCGGGGAGATTTGCCGTCTTCCTGCCCCCCCCATCCTCAGGCGGGGATTCTGGGCGGCAAGGGGTGACCTCCCTTGCTCCCCTCTGCTGCCCTTGTCCGCTCTTTGACACCCCCCCCATTCCCTCCACAGTTTACTCTCTTCTATGTTTTCCTGGACCTGTCTGGCACCACACTGCACTACGGGGCATACCAGTACCCGCGGTGGGGGCAGGCCCTGGGCGTCTGCATGGGGGTGCTGACCTGCATTCAGATTCCGCTTTGGGCTGGCGTGGCGCTCTGCAGGGAGTCTGGGACACTGGTCGATGTGAGTTGTGGGGAGAGTCTGGCAGGTCACAGGAAGGGCTGCGCAGAGGCCTGCTGGCAGGAAGGGCCCCGATCTGTCACCTGCAGAGCTGTGAAGGAGCTGAGCCGGGCGAGGCTCCAGGTGTGCCTCTCCTGTGCCGCGGCTCAGGACCCGAGGGGAAGCCATTGCTCTTCTGGACTCATCAGCCCCAAGCTATCTGCAATACAGGCCTACCTTGCAGGGCTGTTAGAGGGACTTCCAAAGAGGATTTCCCTGTTGGAAGGAAGACAGAAACGCTCCCCAGAGCCCTGCTTAGGTTGCAGCCATGCAGGGTTGGATCTTTTCTGGCTGCATCGGGAAGGCAGCGTGGGTATAACACAGCACCCCACCCCA